GTATGCATGCAGACGACGTGGCTCAGGAACGACGTGGCTCACTCGGGCATGGTCTGAGCTCTGAGGCCTGGAGAGAGGCTCGGCGCCTTTGTGGAGCCCGGCAAACGGAAGGATCCTCTCGGTCGCCCAAACACATTCAACCACACTTTGCACTGTATTCTTCCTGTCGCGGCAGTCGGGGATGCGGCCCAACTGAACTATTCGCCCGCGCGGTCCACGGTAGGTGCGGCATCCTTTGGCGGAGCCTGCTGCGAAAAAGCTCCCATTCGAAGGACAAGGCGGTGTCGTCGTCAGGAGGAGTGAGGCGTGCAATCAGCCACCCACGAGGATCCCGGCCAAAATCCATTCAGGATTCCGGAGGTGGTTCCGCCAGCGGAAGATGGCGCCTGGCGAGCCATGTGGAAGCCATGGAAGCCTTCGATTGCCAGCAGAAGGGCCATGTGGCCTCCGAATCGACGTCGGTTTCGCTCCATCATCGCCCCGACTTCTCCGGAAAAACCCTAGGTATAACACACTGCTCTGGGACCGAGCGACGGTTGCCAACCAGAACACACACACACTGGCCCGGATCATTCCGTCAGCCGGACAACCACCATCTCAGCCACCGGCAGCAGCCGTCAAGCCGCAGAGCCGCCATCGCAAGGGAAGCTCCTCTGCTGCGTTCGACCTCTCGTCAAGGCATGCCGGCTAAGGGAAAACGTTAACCTGGGGGAGGGCCCGTCGTCGTTGGGGCTCCCCACACTGGCGCAGTCCGCCTTTGTCTGGTTCTGGAACGGAGCCACGACGGTTGCGCCACCATCCTATAGGGCGGTGCGGCTTCTTCCACCCCTCCTCCTTCAGGAACAGGCTTTCCTCCGGTCGACGGTGGCATCTGTTGGTGCAAGACTGCGCAAGAAAAACCAGGGCCGGCCATGCTGCTGCGTCTGAAGTTGTTCGTCGGCACATTGCGAATCAGCAGAACTGCCGCTTCGCTGGGAGAGCACTGACTGGCTCGTTCAATAGCGTCGGCGAAAACCCAAACCACCAACCATACAAACGTGCCCATCACAAGGAAGGAATTTTTGCTACGTTTGATCTTTCTTCCTGCTGCTCCGACGTCTGACGTGGGAAACCACGTAGGATCTCCTATTATTTATTATTTCTCCCACCGCTGCGTGACATCCCCATGCCTCGGCTCGGGCCTCCTGGGTGCGTTGATCTCCCAAAGGACCCTCACACCGGTGTTGACCCTGTCTGAGTAAGCTCCCCCGGACGACCTGCCCCATGCGGCAGGGTCTGGTGGATATCTGCCTTCGGTGAGTAATCATCCAGGGTGGATGGGTGATCAACGCGATCCTCGCATCGTGGAAAGGATTATTTGCTGCGTCGGAAGTTTGATCTGCCCATGACTTCGTGGTTGCGACCCTTGTCTAGCATGGGCGTGTTTGATCCTCCGTATGGATTTTTGTAGGGCGGCCAACGGCAGTGTGAGCTGGCACACACACGTGGTCGTCTCGAACGATCCTCCCATGATCCTTCTCAAACATGCAGTCCCCACCAACAACACCTTCAACGGCAGCAGGAGATGCGTAGAAGCTGCTGCTGTCTAATGACATGAAGCCACAACCTATGAGAGAATAAAATGTGGACTCGATACTGGCAGTCCCAGATCTGCGTCTGCACCATGCACAACATCGAGGGTCAATGCGATTAAAGAGCCCATGCTACCGGGCTCACTCTCTCCCCATCGGCGATCTCAGTCCACAATACCGGAAAGGATTTTTTGCTACGTTCAAACTTGCTCTTTTCTTCTGACCGCTGTGGCACATGGTAAACAGTAGGACCAGGCCTCTGACCATTGTGTGAACACCGTGGACATTGGGAGTGGAGCACTCCCCAGCAAATGATATAGCGCTACCGCAACGTTCGGAAAGGATTCCTTGCTACGTTCAAAGTTGAACAGAAATCGGGACACCAGCGCTGGGAAATGCTCGAGATGGCTCCACTTTCTGAATATCCAGGGGCGCGTGAGAGGGAAAAGGACCTAGGTGGTCGGGGGTAAGGCGGCAACGGGGGGAAGGGAGGGGAAGCATCCTGAGGAGAAAGCACGCGCGAAAGCGTCCGGTAAGGATTCCGACCTACGTTCGAAGTTGGATTCGAAATAGATTATGATTGGAGAAAAGGAGGGGTTAACCCGGATCGTGGTTAAGGGGAGGGAAGCAAAAGAAGCTTTTTTATTTTTTATTTCCAGCGGAGTGGAGGTAAGGGTTGGTGGAACGGACCGAAACAGCAAAACAACAAGATCGATCCCCGCGGAAGCGCCGGCTATCGGCGCCCACCGAGGTCCGAGAGCTTGTAGTATGCCCGTCATTCGTGCCGATTCTGCTGCCGAGAGGGTGCTTTGTTTCACTGATGTGCAATGCTGTCCCTGGGAATACCGCCGAAGATGTGGGGAATGGGCCATGCAAGAATGGTCCGATACAGATCTATCCTTGCGGGGGGTCTTCAAGGGGCTGGCTTGCTTTCACCAGCACACGACCACCTCCGAATTCTCACAAGGATTTTTTGCTATGTTCGAAGGTCCTTCCAGTAGGGCGTACCGAGCATGGCCGGTGGAGCGACTAGCAGCAATGATATGTTGGTAACCAAAGCAACCCGGAGCATACATGGCACGCACGGTGCTCCCCCGAACACCCCCCCGTAAAGCCATAGCCAAAGACTACAGGGTAGGAATATTTGCTACGTTCAAACTTGCACTGCATGGGCCATTGACTGCTGGCGAGAAACTCGGACGGTCCCAGGAGTGTACAGGAGAAGTGGAGGTAGCGGCCTGTACTCAGCGGGCCACACGCACAGCCATTACGGAGCGGCACATGGAAGGATCCCTTGCTTCGTCCGAAGTTGAGGCAACATGCAGTGAGTAGCCCACGCCATCTGCTCCGTGCCAAAGGGCCCAGAAGCGAGACGACGCCAATTGGAAGCATGTGCGTCGATGGAAGTGGGATAAGCTGTGTAAGCACATGGCATGTCAGCAAGCGTTCGCGTCCTCTCTACGGGAACCAACCACCAAAACACTTGGCTGACTGGAAGGATTTCTTGCTACGTTCGACGTTGCCCGGGTCGAGCATGGGTTGGACGAGGGACGGTATGCAGAAGAATGGCCGGGACGAAGACCGTGCACCGTAGGATGCGTACTGCATCCAGCAGGACGTATACGCGGCGGATTCTGCTACAAGACCCCACAGACAATCTGAGCCAGCCACCAGCACGCTGTGCCGCTGGAAGGATCCTTTGCTACGTTCGAAAGTCGACCCGAATGGGAGCGGCCTCCGCAACGGCCGCAAACGCCCATCGAAATCCTAAGCTGGCTGGCCTATTCCAAAGCGCCGAACTGTCCAAAACCAGGAAAGCCGACGAATCAGCCGCCGCCGATGCGTCACATTAGAGCAAACCAGCAGAACAGTGTACATGACGCTGGGGCGGAACTTTAAAACAAAAAAGAGAGGACCCGGCAGCGTGGTCGAAGGAAGCAACCACGTGCTCTCATCCATAGTCTCAGAATCCTGCTGGAATCCCCTTCTCTGAAAAGAGTAGAGGATCGGAAGGAAAAAGAAAAGTGAGTGTGATGGAATCCAACAAAGCGGGACTGCGCCACCAATCGCATGCAGCAGGCGACGTCAGCCATGGGTTGTTTCCGATTGGTATACCCGTTGCAGTAATCCCGCCTTCTACGCCAGTTGCTGTGGCGCTGCGATGGATTCCAGACCGCAAATCCCACAAATCGCTCCCACTAGCGTCCGCCGACTCTAACTTAGCCTACCACCGACGCACCCCTAACCCTTCGCGTACCCAGGAGCCATCTCGCGAGACACTAAGAAAAAATAAAACTGCGAATGCGAGAACGAAGGAGGTGATGACTGCCGTATACTGAAGCCGCAGCTTCGAAGGTGTGGTAAAAGGGAATAGGAAAAGAAAAGAAGCGCCACACCAACAAATCCTCCTCCTCCTCCTCGCCCGAGCTTACCCCGTGCGCACTTATGCAAACCGAAACCATGGTTTAATACTGCTGACAGTAGCTCAGCTCCCGGATACACATCCCCAATCGGGCAATCATTACAGCTAAAGGAGACAAGACACCAACCAACAACACCCCCCCGAACGAACCGAAAGCGATATCCCATCCTGCCTGCTTCCTTCAAACCAGAAACGAAAGCGAAACCCAGCATAACCACATGCGTCTTCGATGACTCGTCGAAAAGCGGCCCGAAAGGCCCAGAAGCCACACTACTACGTAACTTGCCATCGAGATGTGGCGTTCCTCTCGGGATTGCCGATTCTTCTTTCGATAGCCACAGCCACCAGCCCCCCAGCCACAAAACGTACTCGCCTCCACCCAGAAATCGGCTGACCTTTCGGCTACGATAGCCCTTCTGTATCTTGGGCGCCGTCATAAACCGCCGGGCGTGGTTCTGGACCCTTCCACCCCCCCACCACCACATCCATGGCAAGCTGAGAGATTAGGATTGCGACAAGAAGGGGGGCAGTTGAAAAGCATCCCATCCGGACATGACTGCATGATATGCATGTGAAAAAAAAAAAGCATCTGGACGAGAAGCTTCAACTCTCAGTTCTTTTGCAATATCAAACGAACCGACCTCGCGTGCACCCGAGTACACGCGACACATCACAAATGCGTATCACTCGGGTCCGGCTGCGGACAAAGCCAAACATGTGTTAGCCGAAGCATCTGAAATAAGGAACATGCCGTTGCTATCTTCTCTGCCAAGTCTGTACAAACGAGTTTTTGATATCAAGATTAAGGTCCGAACCTCCCACAAAGCGCGTCGAAAGAGGAGAAGAAAAGGGGGTGTGTGATCAGTTCCACACAGGGAAGAAGAACCCCCGGCGGCAGGGCAGCGGAGAATAACAAAAAGCAGCAGCAGCCTTTCTTTGCCTCGAAAAACGCCCAACCAATGCATACCAATCATACATCAAGAGGCCGCGACCCTTCTGTAATCCGCTTACTCCTCGTCCGTGTCGGTGTCCGTCTCGCTGGTATCCGACTCCTCCTCTCCTTCCGTGTCACTGCCGCTGGACACTTCCACCTGGCGCCTGGGCTTCTTCGTCTCGCCACCCTTCATGGCCGCCATCTGTCCTGCAATGGTATCTGTTTGCTTGTCAGCTTCTTGTTTATCAATTGTCATAGAGTGATTGCGCTTACCCTCATCCGGCTCACTAATCTCCTCTTCCTCCTCAATCTCGACGGCCTTCGAAGGGTGGTCGACGACCAGAGTGACATCCATCTTAGTGTCCATACCAACGTAGCTGTCGCACACAAGGTGCATGGTGAACTTGTACTGGCCGGGTTGAGGTGGAGCACCGAACTGCATCTTCAGAGTCTGGACGTTGTAGGTGGGGTTGCCTTGCTCGTCGAACAGCGGCTTATCGAACTTGGTGAAGGTGAACGGGGGAACGGCGATCTTGTTCTGCCTGCCGTCGGCCAGGAAAACGTGCCATCTCGGCGAGTGGTCCCTAGCGAAGTACGGAGCGTATGCGAGCGGGGGTTGGCCAGCCAGTTCAGCCTTCTTGGCCTCTTCAGCCTCAGCGCCCTTCTTGCGGCCGTGGAGAGCGTCCAAGTCGCCTTCCTTGGGATCGACGTCTTCCAGGTCCTTCTCGGAGACCGGAGGAACATTGGTGGAACCGGGAGGAATGATACGGGCCTTGACGACGAACTGAACCAGACTGCTGGGGATGATGACCTTTTCGCCCATAACCTTGAAGAAGGCCTTCTCCACGTGCAGATGCGGAAGCTGGCTGGCAACCTTTTCGGCGGTGGCGAATTCACTTTCAGACAGAAGACCAGCACCGACTGCACGCTTGCGCCTCTCGTCTACGGGCAAGCCCATGTATTCCTGAACGCTCAAGTGTGTCCTTGCGTTTTGACCCTCAACTGCGCGAACAACGGCGGGAGTGAAACCGGGGAGCTGGAGAAGCGGCGAAGACTTGGGAGGAATGGCTTGGAGGATATTTTGCGAGGTGTGGTAAGACGACAGGAGAGGCGGGCTGTTGCCGTAGGCGAGAGCAACAGCGAAGAAAGCGTCGTTGAGCTTGTGGGCGATAGGCGCAACCTCGAATTTCTCGGCATTGAGAGTCTGGTCCTCGAGCTCGACACGTCCAAGGTAAGCCCACAACAAGGCAAGTGCTTTCCTGCGCGCGCCTTCATCGAGTTCCTCCAGAGTCTGACGGTCTTTGACGCTGAGTCCTCCAGCGAGAGGTGATAGCTCACCCTCCTGGAAGAGCTTGGATTCAACCTTGGACAGACCGGCCTCAGCCTTGTGTCCCCTGAGTGCCTCCTCGAATTCAGTTCCGGTGCTGAGAGCGGAAAGAACGCCACCTTCGCTCAGATCCGGCTTGTACTCTTTGAAGATGTTGCCCGCGCTAGACACCAGGACCTTCTCCTTGGTGACGCGTTGAGTGCCATACCACCATTTGCCGACCAGGTAAGGGAGAACGACGCCCAGGACAATTCCGTAGCCAAGCAGAACATATCTGCCGTGGCCCTCGGTGACGATCCACTTGGGGAGAGCAATGCCAATGCTGAAGCTTTGCTTGCCGTCGGGGTGGCCATATTGCAGGTAGTTGTTGCGGACCTCTTCGTCGGTGAGAGCCTTGAAAGCCTTCGTGTACTCAACCCACTGGTCGTTGATGGATTCAATGGTCAGGTTCTTGGCAGGATCGGGTTGCACCTTGTCGGGGTGGTGGGTCAGGGAAAGTTTGCGGTAGTGAGACTTGATCTGCTTCTCGCTCGCGGACTGTGAAATGTTAGTGGAATTCTCTGCGGCGTGCCTTGCGCGTGCTTACCCTAGTGACACCCAGAACGTCATACGGATCCCAGATCTTGGGGACGGTCCTCGCGGTCACGACCATAAGGTAGACCATCCATGCCATGACAAGCCAACCGCCCAGGGCGAAGAGAAACTTGCCCAGCTTGCGCTCCTGCCGGCGCAGCTTCTTGCGCTGACCATCGATGAGGTCGCCATGTTCGGGGGTGAAATCAGACTGTATTCTCGGAGCGGTATTCTCGAGGTCCTTGCTGCGGGTGAGCAGCGAAATGGTTACCGGAATAGTAACCAGACCGGTGATGGTGGTGACGAAGTACGGGAAGAATTGTCCCTGCAGACGAGGTCAGCATGCTAAGTGCGGGTGGCTGGCGGGCGGCGTCGTTTGCGCGGACCTGTTCGTCATAGTTGTAGTCGGTGGACATAATGAACGGCGGTGTCCCGGAGGGACGGTGAGGCGAAAGCGACGGTGCTCAGACGGACAGCGATTTTGCGAGGACGGCGAGAGTACTCGAGTGGCTGCACGGAGAAGTTCAGGCGATGTTGGCCCGGCGATGTGGCATGTTCTGGGCGTCGTATTGGAGGGGACCGGGAAAGTAGTCGCGCTCGCTTTCAACTGAACAGGTGTCTTGCGCTCGAGCTCCGGCAATGACAGCCCTAACGCCAAGCCCCCCACGTGATGACGCGCTGAACACTCTCCGCGTCGTATCCATCAAAATATACTTTCATTCGGCTACTGGGCGTGCTCTTAGCAATTTCAAGGGCTACATGGCAGCTGTATTCTCATCAATCAGCCGCACTTGCTACAAGAACGTTATTTGTCTTCATGAAAAACCTAATACGTAGAATTTAGAACTTTGTGCTGTCGCTCGCGACGCTCGGAAGCACGGCCTCGCAGCCGCAGATCGCTCCACTCCCAAAGTCAAAGGCTATCTGGCGTTTGCATTGTTTGGTTAAGAAATTGTCAAGCATAACTGTACATCACTTGTGCTAGCTAGAATATCTGACTGTGAGAGCGCATCGTGGAACAGCAGGAGAAAGTCGAATGGCACATCAGTGCGAGCATTGCCCCAAGCAAATCACAGAAGAACAAAATATTCCGTGTGGCCGACCCATTCAGTGCGTTGTGTCCAATGTGGAACACGTTATTTCTACTCGTGTGCACTGCTTGAACAAGTTGACTGCAGTCCTTGGCGCCAAGCTCTTAAATGCAGCCGATTCGAAGTTGCTTTGCGAGTAGGACGCAAGAAAATCCAGACTGTAAGAGCGAAGCATCTGTAAAATCAAACTTGCAGTCATTTTTCGTGCGCGTGTGTGAGGTCGAGAGAAGCGCAAAGTGTCGCGGACTGGGCGGCGAGCTGGCCCGAAACGGGAAAGCGCTTGGGCGAACCTCGGAAAAACTAAGCGGCCGCCCACACTTCTCCAAAAAGCCTCTCTTACTCGCCTCCGCTCAGCGACAACCACGACGACGACCGACAGCCGACGACGACAAGTTGCCCACCATGTGTATGTGCCCGATGCGCCCTCACGTACACCCGCGATGCCTTTCCGCTAACATGGATCGCAGCGCTCGTCTCGGGAGAGAAGAGCAACTTCCAGTACATTCTGCGTCTCCTCAACACCAACGTTGATGGAAAGCAGAAGGTCATGTACGCCCTGACCAAGATCAAGGGTGTTGGCCGCCGCTACTCCAACCTGGTCTGCAAGAAGGCCGATGTCGACCTCACCAAGCGGTAAAGCGCCACTTCGAATACAATGGTTAAAAAAGACGGGAAGCTGATACGCGCAAACAGTGCTGGTGAGCTCACTTCGGAAGAGCTCGAGCGCATCGTCACCATCATCCAGAACCCCACCCAGTACAAGATCCCCACCTGGTTCCTCAACAGGCAACGCGACATTGTCGACGGCAAGGATTACCAGATCCTGGCCAACGGTGTCGACTCCAAGCTCCGTGAGGATCTCGAGCGCCTGAAGAAGATCCGCGCCCACCGTGGTCTCCGTCACTACTGGGGCCTCCGCGTCCGCGGCCAGCACACCAAGACCACTGGTCGCCGTGGCCGCACCGTCGGTGTGTCCAAGAAGAAGGGCTAAAGCTTTGTTGTTTGGGAGTGGGATTATCGGCGTGGGCATTGGGTTCTGGTGGGAGTCTGCAATTGCTTTACGCATGGTGGCAATGGCGAGGTTGCCTTGTTACGGACAATGAGAGGCTGTCAGCCGGCTATCACGGCCGGAGATGCAATCCAACATACCTGCAGACATCCCTCAAAAAATACTACCATTTTTGCAAGTCACAATTTGTGCGGGGCGCCGTCTGACAATCTGTGTCCACTTCTGGCATTCCGAGCAGGTGCAGGGCTGTTGAAACGTTCAAATAGGATGCAGGCTTGGCTCCAGCGGTTGCAGAAACGGTCCACGTCACCCCCCGGTCCGGCGTCAATATACACTGCAGCGCTCCCCAGAAACCCACCAACGCAGCCAGTCCGGGCGATTTCTATTTCTGCGCGGCCAGGTCTTCCCCGATCCCCCATCCCGAGTGATTGGCTTCCCGCCACCTTCAACAATGCACGCCTGCACCCGCTGGCCTCGCAGTGCATTGCATCCTCCGCTACACTATGGCCTGAGACGCAGCGTGCGTTTACGATAAGTAAGTGCTGGAGCCCCACGAGTCGGCAGCCTTGCAAGCAGGCCACCTGCGTGCCCTTTCGTGTACTACTGACCGGTGAACCTCTTTCTGACAATCAATGTAATCCATCGCATTTCCCTTTAACTTTTCCCACGCCTAAAATATCCCAAAGCCCCCCTTCTCTCCACCATGTCTTCCCGGGGGCTCGTCCTCTCCAAATCTCGGTCTCAGATCCTGAGACCGCTCTCGCCAGTCCTCGATGCCGTGACGCGGCTGCTCCGGCCGTCGTCGGCGCAGTCGACCACCTACTCCAAGTCCGGCGCCACGGCCGCCTGGATCTCCAACGACTTCACCATTCCCCCCTCAGGCGGCGGGCCCAACGGCGATGCCGTAGTGGTGCCCGCCATGCCGGCAGCGCCCCAACCGCCGCGCACGCCGGACGACGACAACCTCGTGCCGATCGGCTGCTCGTCGTCGCCGTCGACGTGCGGCTCGACGACCTCATCTAACCTGACCAACAACCCCTCCATGAATTGGTCGACGCCCTCGCAGCGTACTGACGCGGGCATCATCAAGCGGCGCCGCATGCGCCGCTACCACAATCACAGCGGCTACCCGGCCGTCGTGTACGCGCCCGACCCGCCGCAGCAGAGCGAGCCGCGCACGGTGCTCGAGAAGATTGTGCTCGAGCTGTTCGACGTGCAGCATCTGGACTGGATGATGATTGCCGAGCCGCTGCAGCGGCTGTACGGGCTCGACGTCGACAGCGCGGCCGTGCTCGGCATCTTGCAGGAGAATGGGCGCGTGCAGAAGACCATGTGGTGGGATTAAAGAACCCCATCTCCACTCGAACAATCAACTTCCAGAAGAAACAAGAAGAAGTCCCTTTTTCCCACGGGACTATAATGATGCATCACGAGATCGAAGAAAGAGAGGACACACACACACACACGAACTTGGCTACGAGACGGCGAAGAAAGAGGGGCATTGGGTTTTAACCGGATTCGCGTCTGTTTCCGCCCAAACACTTTACGAACACTTTCGATACGGGAGACGCCTGGATTTGAGGGCGCGACGAAAGCTCTGGATTAGGTTTTGTCTTGCTCGCGTTTTTCCCCTGAGTATTTCGTTTCTTCTTCATACCACGCAAATGCGGGTTTCATTTCTTACTCTCTCTCTCTCTTTGGGGCGGCTTGACGTTGAGAACAGGGGACAACTAACGACCACACCAACACTACTCATGACGGATCATGATGTTGATGATGACGACGAACCCTTGTTTTAGGCGCTTTGTGTCATTTTTTGCCTTCCGTTGCTCGCGCGCGTTCTCGTTTCGCTTTGCTTTGCGCTACGCGCTGATACTACCTTCTACGACTGCTCGCTTTTTTGGAAACCACACCACTCTCCTCCTACTCCTCATCCTCCCGCATCTCCGTCCCGTTCCCGAGCCGGTGGCTGACTAGCCTGCATCTTGCCCCTGCCCCTACCTGCCCCCACTCCGAGAAGGGAGAGACGATGATTCCTCCACTTGTAGACTAATTGGACGGGGGCTGGTGGGGACATGAGGCTGGATTGGAGAACCGGGGCTGGTGCCGGGGAGTGGGACTGGGGGGCTTTGGCTGGCAACGACTGGTACCATATTCTTACCGCGCCTGCGCTGTTCACAGCTGCAGCCTGCAATGCACTTACACATCCTCCTCTCAGGGTGTGCAAATACCAACCCCTCCCAGCGATCACTTTTTTGTTTTTTTGGTTCCTGTCTTCCCTGCGTCTCTCGGGTGATATGGATACCAATCAACGTGAATTGACGCCATATCGATATGAAACAGCGAAATCGGAGGGCGGGAGATAGTGGAAAGTTAGAGGGGAAGAGGCAATATCACGTTTCGCTCAGCTGTCGCACGCATGGGGTATCTGGGGATCGTCTAACGAATCCCGATCGCGCAGCTACTGTTTCGTGTCTACAAAAAAACACGAGAGAGAGAGCCGCCTGGAACCACAGTGGCGGACGGGTATGTATGCTGCAGGCCGGATGTGTGCGTTGCGCGTGCGGTTAGATGGTACGCATGGGGTTGGCGGACCTGAATGCTGCGTCGCATGTACATGAAGCAGCTGCCGTCCGCCCGCCCGCTTCTGCATTGCGTGCCATGTTCGTCTGTCGTGGCATGTAGGCAGGCGCCCTGTCGGAGTGAGTGGTGGATGAGGAGGAGCTGCAATCGACGTGTGGTGGGGATTTTCCTGAAGGATGATGGGACCCGGCAGCTCGGGTCGAGCCTGGATGCGAGGAAACTCACGAGCAGCCCATTGGAAAGTGGATAGGCAAACCGAGGAGATGGTACGATGATCAGTCATTCTTCCGAGTCACGGAGAGGAGTGACACGAATTCGCGCGCGCTCTTTCTCTTTCTCGCGCGAGAGATGGCGAGAGAGACACAACACGGTGGCACGGCGGTGTTTGCGTGGACTCAGGAAACACCACAAGCAATCTAAAGGCCATGCATGTTGCCGCAAGTGCGCGGGCTGGGTGGCTTGAAACGGGCTTGCTGGAACGGGACGGATCGCCGTTCCAGATAGAAACGAGAAGGCAAAAATTTCCCTCGGTTCTGCTTATTTTTTTGTGTTGAGTGGAGCGTTGGTCGAAAGTGTGCATGTTGCAACGAACCCCGTGTCGTCATGCTAGTGGTTGGGCTGGAGCCGCCAACAAGCTACCGGCAGCGCAGGTGCAGCCGGCGCCATGCAGGACCAGCAACAACACAAAAAACCCCTCCTCTGCCCGGCCCTGCGCCCGGCCGCCCCGCTGGATCACGTCCGAAGACGTCGACTGGACGAGACACGTCCAAACGGAACGGGAGGAAGCACGGCGGGAAAGCGGGGACCGAGGGACGGTCCGGCATTGGGTGGCCGCCGGTGGTTGGAGCAGCAGCGTCACTGCCCGATTCGGAAGTGCGGCCCATCTCGGGCTGATGCAGATGCGCTTCGGGGTTGAGCTGCGGCCTATCTTGGGCAACATGATGCGGTGAGCATGCGATATGTCTCCGTTGCGCGCTGCCGCTGTGCTCTCGCTCCAGCGCGCTGCCTGCTGCGCCGACGGACTGGGATGAGCTGCGACTGTGCTGGCCGGCAACAACTTTCGCCCGCGTCGCTTAGATCCCGCAGCGCAGGGAATGTGCACGGCTGGGGAATCTCGCATATGCATACATAACTCTTGTGCAGCAGATATGCACTCTCTGTACAGATGTCCCGAATAGTGGGCTCTTGCCTGAAGCGGCGCCCGTTGCTACCTAAACAACCAGCTACCTGCCGTTCTTGAAACCCCTCTTTCCTTCCTCGACCATTGTCAACATCCAACATCAACACTGGCCATGTACCATCGTTTGGAGAAGCCACTGAACGCCCTTCATTTGGCTTCCTCCCGGGATTTGTCCACTCAACCAACACTTGTCTTCCACTCAGGGGTTGCAGCGTGACAGTGAGGGCTGGTAATGGACATGGACGCACAGCATGCTCGGAATAAACCATCCAGGTGGGAGTTTCAACTACATCGACCTTATTGCAACACCAAGCGAACCGACATGGGATGACCTCCACGACTCCCCGTCCGTCTGTAATTGAAGGGGCACCGGCCGTTACCCCTTTTCTCTCCCCAACCTATCCTGGCCATCCGGGCCTTCTGGATAATCTCGAGTATCGGACCTCATCTGGCTTTTGCTTCTATACTGTGGACTTTCGAGCTTGAAGAGCATGTTATCAAAGAGTTATGGGCAGAAAGAGATGGCTCAAACTGTGGGATCTTGACGAATCCACGCCCAAGGTCACTGACTACAGGACAAGATGAGCTTCGCCGTTGGTTCCAGGCCATCACATTCGCTCCTTGCCAACACCACGTCTCTTGGGAACTTTCTTTCTGATCCCTTTCAATGGGACCGATCAACAGAGATTGAGCGTCATGGGGATGATGGTCTCTCTCTCTCTCTCTCTCTCTCTCTCTCTCTCTCTCTCTCTCGCCAACTACTGGAATCTCGGGGGGGCCTAACATGATGAGATCGTCGAAAGACTATCTGTGCAGGACACATCCGGGAGGAATAAACCCATGTGCATGAAGTGTGGACGACCTTCGGAGAGGTCTCACTACAGCATATGACGCTGTCAAGCAGCTATCGTCACAAAGTTCAGTCTGGCATGCAGGAATATTGGTGAATGGATCATGATCCGAAAGTATCCGTTTCTCTATCACCCTAGCGCTCGGAATTCGAAACCATCCGCCGCAGAAATAGGCGTTGACGCTGCTTGTTCATATTCAGCCCGGACGAAGACAAGAACGGAACGAATCAAGAGCGTGCTCGGAAGTAAGAGACACAGACATACACCCGTTGGACTCTTAAAATGATAAGAAGATGAAAGATCCAGGGAGTGGGTAGTACATGTGAGTTCCACGTCCGATATCTGGAGCGATATTACTTATCACTTTCCCATTAGAAGGGACAGCTCTGACATATCATATAGTCAGGAGGAGCACACACCTCTGAACATGACCTATCGTATCACTGTTACACGTCCAGATTCCCTTGTTACTATTTTCGCGCTCAAGCTCCGTTACAAGAGAAGACTTCAACTTACCCAGATCGCTTCCGACCCTCTTCATATTTGGCGAGTCTATTCGGACGCCATCCGCGGGCATCTCGCTTATAAGCGATTTGATACTTTTTCTATGCATTTCTATGCATGTTGTAAGGTCCTTTGGCCTGAAACATGCGTTGTTAAGCTTGATTGGTTTGAAGGGATTTGGAAATACTTGCAAGCACAGGAAATGGGCTTACGAGCACAATTGCTAAGACCCCGCATCGTCGTGCCATGCTGCACACGTTGGAGGCGACAGTGTCACAAGCTACAGGACAGCACGAACACTGTTGCCACAACCACCAAACATTGACACGGAGGAGGCATTATTTTGGCACACATGCCGGTTATCCTTTGCAAGCAAAGCCGAATCCGACTCAGCGCCCTCTCAACCACTCTACACTTGGGTCGCCGCCGTTACCACCACTATCGCCATCACCACAATCCACTACTTCAAACATACCTTACACTTCGATCGCCACACACTGCATCCAGCCAACACGACACTCGGAGGCCTACGTTGAATCTATACTACACTATACGGATAGGTCAAGTGGTGCCCTACAGGTCGTACACCATGAAGAAGGTTTTGTCATCCTCGATGGTCCCACAAGATACTCGAGGACTCCTCTGACTCCGCTTAGTCAAGAAAACGCTCACGAGCAGAGCCCGCTGAAGACAGCTCATCCGACCAGCCCTTAGCAAAGAGCACAAGAAGCGGGCGCCTCACAAGCACAACCGCCCAACGCCGGCTCCAACGTCGATGCGCCGCCGCGCGCCGGCGCGGCACCCAGCTATCATCATCAAACGCCAGCGGCGGCGGCCCGCACGGCTCCTCCTCCTCCACCTCCTCTCGCAAACCCACCACCGGCGGCCCGCCCGAAGTCGAAGGCTACTACATGACCGACGCATGCATTTCCATCCGGGCGAAGAGCAGCAGCAGCAGCTCGCGCCGCAGCACGTGGAACGACGACGTAGACGACGGCGGCATCATCACCATCCTCCCCAAAGCGGCCGAGTGCGAGACGCTGCTCCTGTGGCAGAACGGCGCGCTGACCTGGGAACCGCTGTCGTACAACCTCGACAACGTACACATCGCGCAGTACGTCCGCACGCTGGACCCCGGCCAGCGGCCCGAGGATTACCGTTTCCCCCGCGGCTTTCGCACGTCGCGGGAGAGGGCGAGGCGGGCGGTGCTGGCGGCGAGGAAGAGGGCGGAGGGGTTGCATCCGGGGTTTTTTGAGGGGGGTGGTGGTGATGGTGATGATGATGAGCTTGTGGAGAAGGAGAAGGAGAAGGAGAAGGAGAAGGAGAAGGAGAAGGAGAAGGAGAAGAAAAATGAGCGATTAGCTGAGGAGGAGGAAGTCTATGAAGAAGAGGGAGATGCGGGAGTAGTAGTAGTAGTAAATGGCGAGCACGGCGGCGGCGACGACGACGACGACGACGACATGACGACCATCGCCGTCCCGACCGCCGTGGCACCGGTCCTGCAGGCCATCCTACGCAACTTCACCCTCACCCCTCGTCCCGGGCCGCCCAGTGGCGGCGGCGTGAGCCGTTCTGCTGCTGCTGCTGCTGCTCCGTCTCCTCCTCACCCTACTCCCTCCTGCAACGCTTCTTCTCCTCTCCCGCCGAACGGAGCGCCGCCGCCGCCGCTCATGACACCGGACTCCGACGCGATACTCGCAGACTGCGCGGCCGAGATCGTTATCGTGGACTCGGATTCGACTACGTTCGTGGGGTTTTCTGATGACGAAGATGACGACGACGACCAGAGCGATAATCCGGATGGGGATGACGACACGCCGGGCCCAGATACGGCGTCGGAATCAGGAACGGAACCAGAGTACTTCTCGCCTCAGTATTTTGGAGGTCTCGAGGCGACTACGCCGCCGGGATCACCTTCGAGAGGGTATGGGTGCACTGGGTGGTGATTGCTACGGGTGCCGTTGGAGCATGAATGAAGGAGAAATCTGGCATGGCGGTTGGTGGTTGGTTGCTGGGATTAATGCTTTGATAGTATGTGTGCAGCACAAAGCTATTGTGTCTTTATTTTGCTGCGGAGGTTCGAGGAGATAGGGGATTGACATGGAAGTTGGCTAAACACTGAGGATTCAGATACGGGTCTGAGTCCTATGGTGTATGGATGAATTTCCATTGTTTTCAAGGCTATGGAGCGCTATGCATGCCTAAGCATTTACTGAAGACTTGCCCTTTTTTTTTTTGAAAAAAAAATAAAACTGGGCTCTTTCTATCAGCAATTCAAGTCCTTGCAGATGTAGGTTTAACCATTGTTCCTGCACGAGTAAATGAAACAAATGTGAGATTTAGAAATTCACAACACGTCCGGACATTGAATTCAACTAACCACGTATGGTGCAATATTTGTGGCCAGACGAATTGAAGTAAATTCTTGGGCACTGGACTGCTTGTTTTCTTCACATTGCCCGAGACTAACAGTAACAGAAACAAAGTATACCGGCCGGTATCTTCTCCAGCACAGTGATCACGACTTCTCTGAAAATTGGGTCATGGTTCATGTCTTACATCTTAAAATACATAACTTGCTACTAGCTCAACAAATAGGCTGTCTCTGATCGTCCATATCGAACAAACTGAGCAAAACCAGGGGAATACATGCGGATAAGCCAACTCGGAAAAAATACATCCCATCATCCAGTGATACATTGGGCCTCTTCTTTCCTCTTTTTCTTTTTTCTTCTTCTTGTACACATAAGATTCTTCCTTCTCCTTCCCTCCCTCACATCTTATCAAACACCCTCGTCCCCGTAAACCCCCTCACCGCACTCCCATGAAACTGCAAGTTGACAGGCTCATCATTCCCATCCTCAATCGCCGCCTCCAACAACTGACTCGCCTCCGCCTCCGCCGCATGCAGCACGTCGAAGCTCTCATGGCTCTCAGCCGAGGAGCTGCCGCGGGGGCTGCGCCAGACGGCCTGCTCGCCGATCCAGTCTTTGCCGCCGCTGCGGCGGTCGCGGCGGGCGACCTCGCGTTCCTCGAGGGCCATGCGGGGCAGCTCGCTGACGTGGGGCAGCAGCACGCGGCGGTGCCAAGCGCCGACGAACATGCCGTCGGGGTCGACGCGCTGGCGGACAGCCAGAAAGGCGTCGAGGTCCGCGCCGTAGAGTTGGGATAGGAGCCCGTGGTCGACGCCGCGGAAGTTCTTGGCCCAGTGCGGGCGCGCGCCCAGGTCGCGCATCAGCCACTCGAAGGCTTCGTAGTAGCGCGCGTGGCACGGCGGGTCGGCGTGGAAGGGGCGGTAGAGGGTGGCGTTGAGGTAGAGCGTCGGGCCGTCGGCGCAGCTGGGGTCGAGGAAGGGGCGCGGTTGGTTGGTTTGGATGGATGTGTCGGCGACGCGGACCTCGATGGGGCAGTGCACCCAGACGCCGCGCGAGGAGAAGGGGATGCGCGCCGTCTCTTCGTCGCCGTGGATCCAGGCCGAGAGGCGCGTGATGGCCTCGGGGCCTTTGTGCAGCGGCAGCGCCCACTCGTTGACGAATTGCGAGTAGAGGCAGTTCATGAGCAGGCCCGTGTGCATCGGCTCGACGGCTGAGGTCGTCGTGTCGTCGCTGAAGCCGTACTGCATGCCGAAGACGAACCACTCGATGGCGGGCAGTATGGGCGGGATGTAGTTGGCAATCCACAGCAGGATGTGGTAGGTGTGGAAGCCCACTGATCCGCCATACCAGCTCGTCTCGGCGGCGCGGAGCGGCTTGTCAGTCTTCTCCGCTGACCAGATGATGGCGCGCTTCATGTACGGACACCACCAGACGCGCGTGAATTCCTTCTTTGTCCACAGATCCCTGTCCCACTTGGCCAGCACGTAGCTGAGCGGCTTCAGCGTTTGCTCCCATTCAATCTTGGCGTGCGGGATCATCTGGTACTCGACCTCGACGATGATTCCCAGCGCGCCGAGCGAGACCAGTGCGGCGCGGAAAAGGTCGACGTTCTGCTCAGCAGAGCACAAGACCACAGAGCCGTTCGCCAGGACCAGACGGAGACTACGCACCGAACCGGACAGCAGGCCGTGCTGGAGGCTGCTACCGTGGGTGCCGGTGGCCATGGCGCCAACAATGGATTGCTGGTTGATGCTGCCCAGGTTCGGCATAGTGAGGCCATGCTCCAGCGCGGCCTCATTCAGCTGGTACAGGCGGATACCGGCCTGGGCCTGCACAATTCCCGTCTCGCGATCGACGCGCACGACCTTGTTGTACTTGTCCAGGTTCATCATCCAGGCCGAGGTGCAGGTCAGGTCGCTGGGCGAGTGGCCGCAGCCGACGAGGGTAATGCGGCGGCGGCATCGACGGGCGAGCACGACGGCTTTCTGGATCTCGGCGAGCGACTGCGGGCGGATGTAGAGCTCGGGGTAGGAGTGGAAGGTGCGGGCCCAGGTGTGGTGGATGTGGGTTTTTGATGCGCGGAAGGGCACGGCCGGGTCGAGCTTGGTCAGCTCGTCCTGGACGCGCGCGGGCAGCTCGTCGGCGGCCATGGTCGGCGGAAGAGGCGGTGGCTCGTGCTAGTGGTTCTGGTTCCTGCTGGCTACCGTCTCATGGTGGGCCCGAGAGCAGTGGTGAAGCGGAGGTGCTGGACATGGCGTGCGCGTGAACGGAAAAGCCGTCGCGTCGGCGATTTCTCCTCCGCGGTGTGGGTGGGGTGTGAAAGACGACATCGAGCGCTAGAGGCCGCGGGAGTTCCAGCCCGGCTCCCGGCTCACCGCCCGTCACCAGCTCGTCATACCCCAGACTAAACACCCGTCGTCCCTTGCTCCAACAAAAATTCCCAGCCCTGCATGTCTTTCATCATCGCACTGCGTTATCGTGGCCACCTGCCTTCCTCGCCGCCTGTTGCGAACCGCTTCCCTGGAAGACGTGATGGCTTGTGATTATGAGATGCACCTCAACGTCAACTGACAAATTCCAATGGCAAAATGCGTGCCTTGTCGCTGAAGATCACAGTCGTGTGTCAGCTCGGCGGTCAAGGCAGGCTGATAGCGCATGTGAGCACATTGGAGAAAGGCTCAATAGCAGGTGGGGACGCGCATCGCGACAGCCACCACCTGCTGAAAGCAGCCAAACAACCCTGAAACGATGAGCCATTATGCTACCTAGCCTCGCAAATGAGCAAATAGTCCTCCCCTCGCCTACACGCGCTAGGGAACTGCACGGGAGCGCCCGCCAATCATCATCATTGCCGCCCCTCTAGCGGAGATCCTGTCTCTCGGAAAACGCTCGGAGGACATCGAGGCGAAAAAAAGGTGCAGCAGGATGGGGACAACAACACATAAATTGCCCTTCGCCCAAGCTCCTTTTTAGTGCTCCATGATCTCCTTCAATCGCCGCTAGCTGGTCGATCGGCATTATTTTCTCAAAAAACCCGCAAACTTGCTGGCAAGACTTAAGTCACTTCGTTGCTCTCCAACAGCCCAACATCAACCAACACAACACTTCTCCACAAAACCCACCACACAACTCCAAAATGGGTCTCAAGTCCTTCTTCCGTACCATCACCACCGGGTGGGAAGACTGGCGTGTCCTGCTGGCTGCCCGCGACGACGATGACGACGACTACAACTTTGCCTCCGGCGCCCGCAGGGGTATGGAGTACAACTTCCCCTCCGGCCCCCGTCGCGGCACCGAACGTTACGAATCCGAAGAGGAGGGCTACGACAGCCGCTCTGAAACCTTGAGGACCCCTAGCTCCTCTTCTTAGATCTTTATCGACTTCCACCCGGCAAGAACATCACTACAAATCGGCACGGGACACACAAAGCGTTGGGCACAGATGGCGTTAGGATCAGATTGTATTGTTGGAATTATACGCGGAATACCCTGGGGGGTCTGGAAAATAGCATAAGCAAGGAGTTTCTATCATGTAATATGTGTGGCGAATGTAAAAACTTTGACTCTTCTACATGAACATGACGTGAAGAGAGGTTCCAACCCATTAGTCACTTGTGATTCATCCAGCTATCATGGCCGAGCCCATCTGACGATAACAAGTGGCAATCTTGAGTCACTCGAAAAAACAAATTCCAACGTTCGACGTGGTTCCATGGAGAAAAAGAATGAATCAAATCGTTCCTAACGCTAGCTAGTTTGGGGTATCTTGACGAGGAAGAGAGAATATTGCCCGTAAATGCCCCTGAGTACTCCTTTCCATGCTGTTGTCCCTCCAACCAAGAGTTATAAAAAGTCACACCACTTTCGTCTCATCACGACGTTTCCTTTTTGAAACTCGCTCCACATGTGTCCAAGCTTCATCCCCTTCCGAATCAAGCGAAAAGATCCAGCGACGCTCAAGCATACCCAAATCAAGAAAAATATGGAGATGCGTGCATCAAGCTGATACCTCAGAAATTCTTCCACATTCCACCTCTTTCTTGCACACGTTGCAGAGAGTATCCGGAGTCCTAAGGCTCGAGCGCTATCGAACCGATCCAGCAAAGCTCGCCGTTCACTCTGCTAGGACAGAGGAGGCGGCGGCCCGCCTTCACTGCTACAAGTCCTGGCTCGAGTGTTGTTCCCACGCCTCCGGTTGAGTTGGTCGAAGAGAAAATCTTCGTATTTTGATGAGAAAAGATTGAGTGGTGTCGTCGTTGAATATTCGTACACGAGAAGAGAAGTAAAAATCCTCAGGTGTTGAAGACCTGTTATATTGCGCCTTGTAGACTCCGTATAAATGATGATGATATGTCGGAAACGTTTCATGTGCAGATTCCCGAAACGCCGTGATCGTTACCCGTGATCATGCAGTGTAGCCGAGCCAAGAAAAAGGCTGGGCGGAAAAGCGGGCGGATTGAAGCAGGCATCACGGCAGCGGATGCAAGATGGAGTCACACGCGTGGAGATGTGGAGTGACCGGGATGCCGCTCAAGGATCGATGTAGTCGATGTCGTCGAAGAGGTCCATGACCACCTTGAGCATGGGACCACAAAGATCGGCGCCGTCCGCCGCCTCGCCGCCGAACATGCGGAGACGCTGATTCTCCACACTCTGCTGCTGCTGCTGTTGCTGGAGCTCCTGCCTGACGTGCCAAGCCGAATACTGCTGATGCCAGTGCGCCGCTGAAGGGTTCGAAAAAGTCGTGTAACGCTGGAACTGAGGAAACGAAGGCTGACCCAAAAAGGAAGATTCGGAAGAAAAGGAGAAGGAACTGTCGACCGAGGAGTCGCGCGCGTGGTTGTTGCGGCGGTTGCGCGGGCGACTCCTCGTGCGCTTTCGGTTGTGTCTTTGGCCCATGTTGAGTTGTAGAGGTTGAGGGGGGATGTTGGAGTTGAGATAGAGGATTGCTCCTGGTGAAAGAAGGGTTGGAGCAGGCATTGCGGCGATCTTTAAAGGGTTATATACAGCGGGGTCCGGGGTCAAAGAGTGGGCTTGACTCCGATTGCGGAACACGCGATACAGTCACCACGCGCACGACAGTCGTTGACTCACACAGCGGGTGATCGTCGTCATTCTGCCGTGGCTGACCAATTGTGGCGCCCTAAGTGGCGCAGCAGAGCCCTACGAGCACCCAACGCGTCGCATTCGCATTGACGCCTCGCTTTCCCCGCTGCCTGCTGCGTGTCGCCCTATCCGAGCGTCCGCCAACACGACAAAAATGTGCATTTTCGACGTGGGCGGTGGATCGAAACCGACGTGTTCTTGGGCTGCGAGGCGATGACTGGTGCGGAGCCAAACGGAAGGCTCGATCGGGCTTCCGTCGCCACCCGACGAAACGCCTGACCGCGGCCTGAGGCCCCTTCTCAACAAACTCATCATCACCTCAGGCCCAGTCATCGTCATTCATTCTTTCAATGACTGCGAGACCGCCCGCTCCGCAACACCGCCCGCCCCGATCGAGACCGGTTTCTCTCCCCTTACAAATCGCTTGAGGCGCATTCAGCAGGGCACGGCGCCAAGCGAGAAATGGGCGCGCCTCGATGCGCGCCCTGTACGCATGGCATTCGACCGGACGGACCAACAATGTCGGCGAGCACGCAGAACTCCTGTGAACGGCCACCGGGCTATTGGTCCGCCTTGCTTCCAGCCCCCGAACGTGGGGTTCACGAATGTCACTCCACGCTCATGGTACGTATCATTCCCAGCATCAGGTCTCAGATCCGCCGTATTCTGCTCGTCAGCTGCGATCGAACGCGCTCCTAGTGGCCGGTCGTGATGGAACTTTGTCCATCACACGCTCTGTAGCGATCACGCGGCGACGGCTCTTCTGTGTTCCCCTGGATTCTTGCCGAAAGGAAGGGACACAATGCCATCACAGCACCCCTTTCCAAGGCTGGAGCAAAAATTACCGAATTGAGCCCGTGGGCCATGTGACCGCGGCGGGGGCGTAGGCAAACAATCGGCAGAGCAAAAACAAGAAGAGTAGACGTTGCAGTCCTACGGCTACGTGACAACAGTCAGTGCTCGCCCGCGATCTGTCGTCCGGATGGAAGGAAATGTGACGGATCACGGTTGCCTGCTCGGATGCCCGCTGTAAACTCGCTGGCCGATCTCACGAGACAACGGACCAGCAGTCTAGTCACTTGCGGAAAAGGCTGAAGAAAATGCATGACACTACCGAGAGTGCAGGATTATTGCAGGTACTCATTAGGTTGCGATCAAACTGTACTAACTACGACTGCCGTGTCTCATCAAAGTCATAAAAATCTCAAAGTGGCTGTTGCCTCGCCAAAGAACAAGGAAAGCCACATGGGTGGCGCAAAAGCTCATGCAAGGCACCAGAGTCATCGACGGATCACCAAGCTCCGTGTAGCAACCGTCTTGGCTTCCCGCCACCCCTGTCAGCCCTGACAAGGCCGCAGGATTGTGCTACACCCTCCATCCTAGATAATCATGGCGTAGTAGGCGAGGTTGATAACATGGTTCTCCTTCAGGCTGCAGCGTCGCGCTCCCGAGGCTGTCGTCTCGCACTCGAAGTCGGCGCCGGCGGCGGTGCCGTTGGCGAAGGAGCGTGCGCCGAAGCTACAGATGCAAGGTCAGCACTTAATAAGGATACGATAAGCAAAGATACGCACCTTCCGAACCTAAAGTCGTGTGCGGCCTCCATACCCCAGTCGGTGACGCTGTCGAACTTCGAGAATTTCCACTGGAACATGTCGTCGTCGCACTTGACCTGCAAGGTTCCGCGTTAAAAAATCCGTTGATGGTGCACAAGCTCGCTCTGGCCCGGCGTCTTACATAGTTTTGGGGCCAACCATCTGTGCCAGCCTCCCACGAGGTGCTGCACACGGTCCTGTTGTTGGCGCTCTGGGCGTCATCCCAGAGCGTGAAGGTCAATTGGACCTGCTCCTCGCTGCCGCTGGGCAGGCTGACGTTCAGGCTCTGGATTCTGTAGCAATCGCCGGGCTCGGTGCACGCAACGTCGGCAGTTTTTTGCGGGGACAGTGGGATGGCATGAGCCATGAGAGTAAAGAAGCTCACGAGGATGGCAGACAAGAACATTGTGATGTATGGTGAGGATAATTGACTTTGTCACTAGGTTGAGATTGAATCAATTGAGTGCTGTGAAGATGAGGCGTTCGAGACGAGAACGTGGACGTCAATTTATATGCGCATTCGGGGGGGCAAGAACCACCACCGCACACGACGGGAATGAACCACGCGGGTGAACACGATGCTCTGTTGCACCTGTCTCTCCTACACAAGCAGAATTCGTGGTCGGCCGCGCCGAGAGAGCGAGAGAAAATTATAGATCTAGGTGGAGCAGATGCTACCTGGTTGTATCACAGAGCCGCCTGAAAAGGGCAAGCGGTTGCTGCGGTCGGAATGCGGTTCTCGGTCGGAACGATCGATCCCCCGCCTCTCAAGAGCGTACCTGGACCGGTCAACGAGACGATGAAGCTCTGGCTCGGAAGCTGGCCCTGGGCCCTCCGGTGCGCCGTTTGCGGCACAGCAATCCGGCAGGCGGCTGGGCGAACGAGGTTTCGAGGAATCTGCGCAGAGACAAATCGGGCAGGGCTGGTAGGACCAGCGCACCTGGACCGGTGAGTCGTGGCCCTTTGCAGACGTCGAACAGAAACTTCTGCTCTTGTGTATTACGGATTTGGGGCGTTGCGGCCGGATGGGGCGAGCGGCGGCACTTGCGTGCTGACGGCGTGGATTTTAGGTTGCTGGCCAGTGTTTGCTCGGCGCGCTAAAAATAGACGTGGGCGTGGTCGCGCAGCGCCGGGCACGGTTGTCGCGGGGCAGAGGGCGCTCTCGCGGTGCAGTGCCTGGCCGTCGACGGCTGCGACTCCAGCGCGTCGGCGAAGGCGTGCGGCTCACTCAGGGTCTCTGGGCGCAACTGGAGCATCTGCCCCGGCGCGGCACTGGCACTGCCACCACCAGATGGATGCTCCAGTGGGGCCTGCGGCTCTTCCGCGCCGGCCTGGAGCCCTCAGCGGCTGCCCGAGAGCCCTACACGTGCGGCTGACGGCGGGAGACGCTCGAGGATAGCTTGTCGAGCTACCCACATCCCGCTCCGCAGCAGCCTGTGCCTTGCCGGCGAGCTTCCTGTACGCCAGCAGTCGCCAGTCTAACCTCGCACACTCCCTCGAGCAGAGCTTCGCACCGCGCGAGCCTCCTCAAAGCGCTCCCACGCGCCGGCCTATCTTTAGACTCTCTGCTGATCCTCTCCAGCCCCACACGCGCTCGCAATCCAGGCCGCGCGCAGCGTCGTGTGGCTCGCCATGCCCTCGAAACCCTCCTTCTGGTCCAAGTCGAACAAGTCGCAAGCTTCTGTGGGCAGTGCCACCGACTACGCGTCGTCGGCCTCTTCAGGTACGTGGTAGTCCAGTCGCTGCCCGCGCTGCCAAGCCCCGCGCGCGACAACAAGGCACCTGGACTCAGCGCTGACGGCCCGTTGCAGAACACCGCTTCAGACAGCCAGACGACGCGCAGCTGCGCACCTATCCCTCGCCGCTCCCGCCATCGCTCCAGAGCTCCAACCTGTCGCTCGATCCCCCGCCCGCAGGTGCCGTCGTCGGCGCTGACGCCCCCGCCACGCCCGTCAACCGCGCCAGCGCGCAGCCCTATGCCTATACCCCGCAGCCCGACCGCAGCGTGAACACCGTCCCCGAGAAGAAGTCGCTGCGCAGCAGACTCGGCCTGGGCCATTCCTCCAAGGAAAGCACCGATTTGCAATCCAAGGACAAGGGTCTCGGCAGACGAGTATCTGTCAGGAAGAAGGACGTCCCCGGCCAGCGTCCGCAGAGCGTCGCCGAAGACCACCGCTACTGGCAGCAGGCCAAGCAGCTGGCACCATCGCACGAGGTTGACGAGCACAACGCGCACCTTGACCCGTTCCTGGTCCAGCCTGAGCCACGCTCACCTGTTCCGCCTGCCAAGGATCCCTACTACGAGCCCAAACCACCGCCGACCATTGGCCAGAACCCCGACCCGAACGAGTACCGTCGTGCGTCGCTCGCTCGTGTCAACACCCAGCAGAGCTTCCAGCAGAGTCTGCGCGGCCGCAATTCGGGCGAGTATCAACACGGCCCCCACCCGCACGGCAACGGTGGCTTGAACGCCCATAATCCGCCCCCACCACACTATCAGCAGTCGTACCCCCAACAGCCGCAGGTACAGGCCAACCAGAATCAGCATTACCAGGCCCTGAATCCGCATTCCGCCGACGGCGTTCACCCCCCGAGCCAGCAGCACCCGCACGAATTCGACTCTGAGCAAGCAGCACAGGAGTACATTAAAAAGCAGGCCGATTTTCAGGCATACCAGCGCCTCCAAGAGCAAGAGCAGCAGAAGCATCAACAGCAGCAGCAGCAAGGCCGACCTGGTTCTAGGCAGCAGCAGGAGCAAGACCTTCAGTTTATCCCACCGGAGACACCTCAACAACAGAAGTTTACTCCAATTGTTCGTGTCCCAGTTCAGCCGCAGCCGCAACCGCAGCCCCAGCGACTTTCCCACGAACAACCAACGCCTCATCCACCGCAGGCACCTCCATCTCCTTCTCCGAGCCATCAGAGCCAGAACCTTGCCCCGCACTCCGCACAGGACTTTGTCGTTACTCCGGTGAAGGAGATTCATTCGCAGCCATCGACCGAGCAGATGCCTCCAGCTTCGAACAAACGCTCATCCGAAGTTCCTAAGGGAGGCATGGGGGGTCCTCCTTCGAGGGAGAACTCCAACCTCGCGCAGCAAGCTAACCGTCAGACCTTTAGCGCAGACGTTGTTCCTTCTGGAGCGCAGGACCAGCGTTTTAGAGGCGGTAAGAATGGCAGCAACGACAATGAGAGTGGCCGTGGCACCCCGCCGCCGAAGCGTGCCGTTAGTGACATGAGCGACGAAGATGTGGCGCAATTGATGAAGGAGCATGACGTCTTGCGTGAGTTTCACCCTTGCACGTTCTCTACTGGAGGTTCTGAACATTTCTACAGGCGAGAAGTACCAAAAGGTCAAGCGGTACTTCTTTGAGCAGCAGTCTCAGGTTCATTCGCTGCAGAATACCCTGGCTCACCAGCGTCTTTCACAATCGCGTACATCTCTCGATGATACCGAGTACCATGCTCGATTTGAGCGTCTTCACGGTCTTGTCAAGCAAGCAGCTTTTGCAATTAGGAAGATCTGGAAAGAAATTCCACCCTGGTTGCAGACGGCTGTCAACCATGATGCCGTAAAGGTCGGCACGCGGGAGATGACAGCCGTCGGACGTGCCGTCCTTAGCAAATGGCTGATCGACGAGGTTTTCAATAAATTTTTCCACCCAGATTTGGACCAGCACCTCTCCAAACAGCTCAAGAGCTGCCACAACAACATCCGCAAGAACGCCCCCATAGCAACCAATCCGGAAGAAGAGGAAGCTCTCACCTCCAAGCTGGTGAACTGGCGCCTCGCAACCATCGAGGGCTTTGCAGAGCAGCTCCGCGGGCCGCAGGCGACGGCCAACCGCGAACTCCTGATCAAATCCCTCAACGAGTCGCTGACGGCCACGATGGAGATGTACGTCGTGGATCCGAACCACGAGGACTTTTTGGAGCTGAAGGCGAACGTGTCGCCCATCATCGAGCTCACCATCAACATCATCTCGCACCTGCCGCTCGAGAGCCGCGAGATCGTCGTCGAGCACTACCCGCCGGGCCACGGCATCATGGGCGAGCAGATGACGGTCGAGAGCGGCATCCCCCCGCTTGCGCAGCCCTGCGCCGACGGCGTCCTGCAGCATCGCGACAGCGAGTCGGCCGAGCGCGCTAGCCTGGCCAGCGCCACCAGCGACCTCAAGGACGTCGCGTCCGTGGGGCCCGCCGGCGGCGAAGACGACTCGCAGCAGAGCTCGCCGCAGGGCCAGCAGCAGGGCGGCCCCCAGCAGCAGCAGCAGCCGGACGGCAAGCGCTCGGGCAGCCGCAGCATGTTCTCTAGCATCATGGGCGGCGGCGGCAAGAAGCTGCAGCAGAGCGAGGCCCGCCAGCGCGAGCGCGAGCAGCAGCTCGGCGCCACGCGCACCGGCGACAACGGCGGCAGCCAGGTCAGCCTGCAGTCGGCGCCGCCCAAGGAAGAGCTGCCGCCCAGAGTGCGCATCGCGACGGGTCTGAGCGTGCGGATCTACGGCAAGGGCGTGCTGTGGAAGGCGACGGTTTTCCCGACTGCTTAAGTTGGGGATGTGGTTGGTTGAGTTGGTCATTTGGCCACTTCTTGCTTTTCTTTTTCTTGGTGTAGGTGGTGGGTTGGTGCGGATTTTAGGCCTCTCATCTCTTCCTACGTGGCTGTTCGTTCTGGAGTAGGGGAAGTGAAGAACGGAAAAGAGGTTGAGGGAGGAGGAAAAAGCGGAAAAAGAAAAAGATTGGTCGGGGCGAGCTTGGATAACGTTCATGACTTTTTCTTCTTCATATTCACCTTTTTTCGTTTGGTGTGTTTTTTTTCTCTTCTCTGCTCTTTTTCTTTTCTAATCTTTGCTTTTTTTTTCTTTTCTCTTTTCTTCTTGATGCGGGAATCTTTTGGTTTATAATTAGCCAAGTCAAAGGTCCTAATCTGGAGGTGGGGAAGAAGGAAAAAAAAGAAGAGAGGATCTCCTTTCCTTCGGTGTAGGTGGTGTGAGATTGCGGGTCGGTCGGTCGGTCGGGAAGAATATACACATATACACGTATACGCATTGGCATTGATCCTCTTGTGTTACGGTGGTTTTTCTTTCTGGGCGGTTACTGCTGCTGCTGGTTTGGTGTGTGGTTCAAATGTTTCTGTTTTTGTCTAGCTTTTGTTGTTGCTTGGTATTTAGAGTCTCTGTATACCGATACCCTCGTTTTTTGTCTCTCTTCCCTCACTTTTCCCCCCTCCACTGTACATTCTGGATAAAATATTCGGGTTCTTCTATTCGAAAAGCTCAACCTTGGATGCGAAAGGAACCTGATTCGAACGAGTGAGAGAAGGGGCCAGTGGGAGGGACTAAAATGCGAGGCGGGTGGCTGGCGCTACGGAGGGGTATCGCGGCCGAAGGTTACTCAGCGTGAATGTGGGTTTTCGCTCGTGTTATTAATGGTTGAAGCTGTTGTCCGGATGTATTGACAGTAGTGCATTTGTGTCCGAGCGATGGCTTCTACTGCTGACATATTTTGTTCCTCACAAAGAATGTTATTGGAGCATAACCATTAGCTGCAGTACTCCTCTACACAGCGGGTCTCACGAAAATTGACTTTATCTTCCCGATTTGTCTTACCACGGGCGTTACACCACATGTAGGTAGGCGGAACCACCGTCCGGATGTATTTATGCATTGAAAACTTCACACTTGCACCGGGACATGAGTTGAGCTACTCGAGCAATTAAAATTTCCTCTGAGATGATCATGAACTACTAACATGTTCCTTGTTAACGTGCCATATCCGTTAAATGAACCTTGGACTATCCGCTTGCAACTGCTAGAAGCAACTTTTTCCCCATACCTGTACCGGCAATAACATCTTGCAAAAGCATATTCCCGCATTGCTGACATGCCCTTGATAAGTTGCAACAGTCTCTCTCCGTGTCCATCAGCAATATTTCTTCAGTGTCGACATTTCGCTTTTCGTTGATTCACTTTGATGATTCGCTTTCATCATGTCTGCGTTCCCGAGAATCTATCTGCTGAACTGCAATTGGAGTCAGCGAAAGCAACAAAGAGAATTCATCAGCCGTCCACCTACCAGATCTGAGATCGCCTGGCTGGAGAACATGTGGCGGTAGCGTGTTTCCAGAAGAGTTCGGCCGTCGAGGTCGGCTATTCCATCTTCTTCCGAAAGAACTGAGAGCACCGCAGGCATCGTAAGGAGTGGAAGGTCCACACGAGAAATCAGGTCCCCCATGTGGTAGCAGCAGTCAAGTTCGAGGCCAAAGACGCTGGCCACTCGGGCTCCAAGGTCTCTGTAGCGGAAGAAGACCCAGCCTTTCGTAGTAAGGTGCGAGTTGACTGCAACGCACTCCGCACATGCTCGGATCTCGTAGTCGAGCGAGCGGGCGTAGTGACGCGCGGCCTCAGGCGGAATCTGTCCATTCAGCTGCGCAACTGCCCAGCGGCGAACCCTCTCCCTGTGGGCCGCGCACGTCGCTGTGAGGCAGTGATTGCCATCTTCCTTGCACGAGGTGCAGCCGAAAGTGCCAAACTCGCACGCGTCGTTCTCCTTCTGCTCGCGGACGGTCTTCGGGTGGCAGGTAACCGAGTTCGGTCCGTAGACGGCGCGCTTCAAGATGCAGCAGGTGCAGGTGAGACTAGGATCGGTATCGTCGTTGGTGGCGGGTGAAGTGAGGTTGCTCCACGCGGCCCGCTGTGGGCCTGGGACAGTCGCCGTGTGCGTCTCGTGTCTTCGACGTAGGGAGTAGGCTTGCCGGCATTTGGTGCAGCTAATGACGGCCATGTAGAGGGTGCGGATGGCGGACTCGACCCATTTGGCCTTCTTGTCGGTGTCGCGGCGGATGCCGTCAAGTAAGAGAGCATGAAACTTGTGGTCATCGCAACGAGGCCACTCGCAGATGCCGCCGCCCTCGGCGCAGCGTGCACATTCCAAACCGGGCTCTGGTCCGGAGACGCAGGGCACATCGTTCAGTAAGCACGTCAAGCAACGGCGGTGATGTCCGCATGGACAACCCGGTTGGTTCGGCGGTAAGTTCGCTTCGGGCTGCATGGTGGTGCGTATGACAGGAGAAGAGTGGCTTGCAGGTTGGTGGAAACGAAGGATGAGGGTGAAGAAGAGTTTGAGGAAGAGGAAGACGTCCGAATGAGTATTTGTCCGCGAAAGCTGCGCGGGAGCCTAGTACGAGTGCCAAAGTAGGAAGCAACGCAGCGTAGTTCTTCCCTTTTTCGGCAGGCGCGATGGACTAAGTCACCCGCCGCCCTCATCAGTGGCCGCCATTCCTCGGCTCTGTGAGCCATTCAGTCATGGAATCGAGATGCTGCATGAGGTAGGAACGATCGGAGCCATCTGAACCGGCCTTTCGCCATGGACGCAACCACCGACTGCCGCGATGGTTCAGGCGTCGCGAATTGCAGTCAGGTTTGTCCACATGATGATGCATGGCGGCATGGGCAGTGCGGGAACGCGCTTGTAGCAGGCATCTCAGTCAACCTCAAAAATAATTTCTCGCGGGATAGATTACGGGTGGCGTCTAAAGACACTTGCAGGCCGCTGAGCGTGGATGCAGTCTGAGTGGACTCGCAGAATTCAGAAAGACAGAGGTGGTCTAAGTAGACTCGCACGGAATCCACAGACAGCTACAAAAGAAAATTAGCCTCTCCCAATCCGTTGCATCTGATGGATAATTGGATCCAATGTCCGGATGTATCATGCGATTTCCAAATCTACATCTACGTTCGGACAAAGCCCAGGTCCCAAGAAAAGAGTGACAAGCGCTTAAAACGTAGCCTTCGCTACCGGAATGCCAAGGGCATCAGTATGAAATGGCAAAATCGGACCCGGCTGTCTTCTTCGTGCGTGGGATAGATAGCGGTGATGACGGCCTTCTGATAGATGGCGTTGGCATTATGGCGCTTCTTGGGAACCACATCGTTCTCCTCCCGGATTGCGAATCTCTTGGAGTGAAGGCGGTTCTGGAGTGTGTCTCGGTGAGCATTACTATCAGGATGTAGGGGATCATGGGTTCTGTGCCACCGAGCCCAGTGCGCGTCAGCGAGTACCGACTGCGAAGGGCTCACAAAGGACATTCGGGGAGGAGAGGCGCTCATGCAGGAGCGCTTCCGCCGCAACATGGTCGATACCGCGCGGCATGCAGCCGAGAAGTTCTGTCCCAAATACCGCCACAGCCGCTTGCAGGCTGACATCAACTCCAGCGGCGGCGACGGTGTCCGTTATCGTCCTTCCGTCCGCATGAGCAGAGCGGCCATCTCGAGGTATTGTAGCACGCATATTCTGGATAACCTCGGACTGAGGAGAAGGTGCGGCGAGGAAGTCCACCAGCCTCGGAATGGAGGCTCACACCTGCTGCGATGGACCGCCGCCAGCGAGGACCTGGCCGAGCAGAGACTGTGGTATGCCATGAATGGCGGCGTCCTCTGAGCGGGTCATCCAGGACTCTAGCGCTTGCTGGACCACCCGCCTGCGCGGCCTCGAGACTTGAGGAGGAGGAGGAGGAGGAGGAGGAAGAAGGAGAGAGATGAAAGGTGGAGCCTTGCTTGGGAATTATGTGTGCGTCGTCCACGCTGCCGGGCACGCTTCCGGCGGGGTTCGGGATGTCTGGTGCGTGGTTTAATCATCGGGCGTCAAGCGAGCGACAGGTCGGGGAGAGTGGCCTTGAGAATCCGCGTCGGTCTGGCATGCGTTTGGCGGTCGGTTCGGTCATTTCGGACTGCGTGGATTGTCCTTCGTCTTGAAAGTGAGGGATGCGCGCGTTTGACCGGCATCGAGGTTGGGAGGTCGTCGGTGCGTTCGAGCTGAATGCGGCGGGGTTGGGGATTGATGTGCTGGGAAGGACGGGTTTGGTTGCGCGATCGAGCGCGGCAGGATAGGCAATGCCCTTTCTCCAGTCGATTTGGCAGCCGCAAACGCCATTGCTGCTCGCGCCCGAGCCTGCGCCAGCCGTAAGCCAAGAGGATGATCGAGCTGCTCATAGTAAGCCTGGTCAGTGAGTGCCTGAGGTATATAAATCAGCAAGTCAGCTTCTCCTTTCGCCCACAGTGGCAGAGTGGTAACTACTCCAGTTACCATCAGAAGAACATGCTAAATTCACTTGTGCTAGGTCAAAAAAAAGAAAGGTCATAAGATCGAGCATAAAAAAAGCAATAAAAAATCCTTGTCAGCTCCCTATGGATGGGGTCAGACTTGGGGTTTTTTCTCCTGTAGCGAGCCACTCACAAGGCGAGCAAAAGCAGGTTTTTTGCCTTTTTTTCTTTGACCCGTGTATGGTTCGAATGGGCGAGGGAGAAGGCGAAGAAAGAGGTAGTTGTGTATTTGGTGAATGGCACTGGAGAAGAAAAAGACATGCATAAATAACGATGAGAAACGCTCTAAGACTATTATTACCCATCTCCCCCTCACTCTCCATGCTAGGACACATGCTCGTGAAGCTCTTCACGAAAACGACTTTCTTTTCCTCGCAGCGCTGGGTGGACGTGCATCTGTGGAAGTCTACTCGTGGCCCGGGCAGGCACGCTGATAGTGAGACTGGCAGCCAAACTACCACGTCTCCTCCACTGGATTGATCCGCTCTCGTCCTGTACATCCTTAGCATCTAACATCAAATTTGTGCAGGAAGCAAGCTCACCTCCTGGGAGTACACCGAGCTCAGACTTGGCAGTGTCGTCTCGCCACACTGCCACTTCTCCTCTTCCCTCTTATTCTTCCTACACTCACTCTTCACCCGCCTAAGCTTCCGCTTCAAAACTCTCCCCACCTCCTCACTATATCTCACCTTCTCGTCAACCAGTGCCCTCGCAGCGGTTCCAATGTCACCCCCACCGAGATCAGCCGCAGCCTCGCGCATACACGCCCACCACATCCACCCATCCACCCACGCCAACCGCTTCGATCCCTTGGCCAGGCGCTCCCATCGGCACCACGCCAGCAGCGAGACGCGCAGCGCCAGAATGAGCGCCGGTGCGCTGCCGACGTGAGTGAGGACACAAGCAGGGCAGGCGTTGCGGAGGTGCGATGACGACGTTCTCCCAGGCGACGAAGGTGTGGTCGGCGCGGAAGAGGATGTCCGAGGTGTGCCGCTTCTTGGCGCAGCGCTCCGCGGCGGAGAGCTTGTAGGTGCTGACGGGGACAAGAACGATGACGATAATGGCGTTGACAGTTGCGATGACGGTCCCTGAAGCGTGGAACCGATCTCTGTCCTGACCTCGCCCCCCTTCGTACGTCGCTCGTTCTCGAACCAAGAGACCAACTCCCCCTTCGCCCGCCCGAGCAGCGCTAATACCTCTTTTACCCGTAGATCATCATCCTCTGCTCCCTCTTTGTCATAATCACCCTCCACGACCATCAATCCCAGACCAGAGGCCCACGAACCAGCCTCCTTCCACACAAACGTCAGCACACTTCGCAACAGCACACCATCCAGACCGGTGTGGAAAGTGCACAGCTCTCCACCTACATCCCTTTCCTCCTCCGCTCCATCTTCCTCATCCGCTTGTTCAGAATATGCCGGGGAAGACAAAGACGTCCTACGCACGGTATGGCCGCCACAGCCCGGCCGGTGAGCTATGCCGGTCCGTCGGCGGCGGCAGTGACGGCGGCGTCCGTGATTGCGATCGCGAAATACCCTTGTTGGCGTTGCTGTTGTCTTTACCGCCGCCACAGCTGTCGCCGCTGTCGCTGGGCTCATGCACTGCCGCAGGTGGGAGGGCAGCTCCGCGATGCGCAGGCGCGTGCGGATGCGTCTGATTGTTTCGTTCGTGATTGGGGACAGCGACGACGGCAGGAGCTGAGGTGAGACAGGAGGTGTTCCTCCCTTATCACCACCATCGCCATCGTCATCGCCGCAGCCTCCAGAGCTTGCTGTCTTCGCACCGCCGGCGGTATCTCCCTTCGGCGTGGAACCCCGTGAAGATTGCTTGTCGACTATTCGGAAGTCATCGGGGCCGCAGGACGAAGAGAGTGAAAGGATGCGGGTGAGGAGGTGGATATCTTGCAGGGAAAGGCGGCGGTAGGCTGTTCGGGACGTTGATGGCGTAGCGAGCGGAGAGGAGGAGAAGGAGGTGGCGGATGAGGAAGGTGGAGACGGTTGCGGTGCGAGGAGTGGCTTTGACGACGGCGAAGCAGGCTGTGTGCTATAGGCACTGGCGTTTCTGCGAGGGGAATATTTGTTGGCGAAAATGCGCAATAAAGGCATGATGGTGGTTGCGGTGTTGTGTTTCCTTGGGTTGGCGGTGCGAGTCTCCAGACTTTTGAAATGCTGGTTTGTTGTGGGCAGGTTCGACCTATTGGGGGAAGCATGGGGCTGAAATACCAAGAACAATCTGACATGTTTGAGACTCTTCTGGTTGAGGCGAGCTGTTAGGACAATGGTGATCTCAGGGATGTGTTCCACACTAATCTGTTATCCTCTCAAGACAAGTCTCAATGAACCGAAACAGCACATCATCCCAGCTACAACATAACCTTCCTCGCCATGAGCAAGAGTAGAAAGAAAATTGTACGAGCTACTCGAACACCCGAAAAACAATATAGTTGAGATGCATCATATAAGGCTCTGTCCTTTTGTCACGCCGCCGCATAGGCTGTCGCGAGGGCAAAAGAGAATATACAATGTCCGTTATAAATCGCACACACCCCTTCTCAATGAACCTTCTGGTGTTCACATCCCCCGCCTCCATGTTTATCATCAGCTGCAGAATGCGGCATCTGTTTTTCAAAAGCGCTCCCTTGGTTAGTAAATTCCAAAAGGAGTAATCTCGCTAAGCGACTTAGCCCGCAAAACGTTAGCACACACACAGGCAAAAAACAAAACGTACAACAGCCGGGATTCCCCAATGGTCACCCACTTGAGTACTAATCGGCCGGTTCGCAGCTTAAGTACGGCTGAGCGGACGGGAAGCCCTGCATTCTGCGACCTATGGTCGTACGTGAAGGAGGTGGCTGCCAATTATGTTTATCACCCTCAGTCAACTGCCTGTCGACTGGCTGTTCACTGGAGCATGTCTGGGCACTGTCTCATCAATAATGCCTCACGCCCTCGCACGCTTAAGCCGTCTCCCAGTCAAAAATATACGAACCCCGTACGGTGCATATTTTGTGGTCTGGTTTGCCGCTCGTGAACTTCAAAAACTGCTATCTTCGATGTCTCTCGCCGAACTTTATAGCCCCACAGGCGAGAGCTCGCGCGTAGCACTTCTCCGGACCATTGCCGCAAACAGGCTACCGGCAGCTCAGGACATACGCAAATTCGTGCGCTATATTTGTCAGAAAGCATACGAGAGTCTTTTTGAGATGCTTTCCACCGTCTGAGAGCTCCTGTCTCAGCAGCCCCACAATGAAGAGCTTTGCACTTCGACTGGATGCTTGGGGCAGTTGAAAAAAGACAACGAATTGGAAGACTATGAGTTTGTGCTGAAATTCTGCTTCGAGTATCTAGCATCTGCTGCGCAAGATGAGTGGTGCGAAAAGCCTGGAATTCTATGCGTCTGGGGGGACTGGCATCGCGTTGCAACCAGAAAGGAAAAAACATTCAACCCGAATGAGGAAGAATTCCGGGCTCCGGTTGCGTGGATAGCAACACTTCTGTCCATCTACGCGCGCCATCGCGGAGAGTCGCAGCAGGATGATGAGTGGGATGCGCAAGGCGACGGTGGCGGTACTGGCGGTACTGTTGGCAGCAGCAAGGAAGTCCTTCGGGACTTCGTCGCCGTTTGTGACGTCGTCTGGACGCTCCCTAATTTCTCTAAGAGTTTTCACGAAGTCTCGGGCGTGGGTTTTTTAACACAACCTTTGCTTGGTAGCTCCTGCAAAACACGTAGAGGTAGCGACTGGAATCTAGGTTGGGTTCCTACGATGGATGCGATGAGCGCCTCCATGCGGACATTTTCTTCAGGCCGAGTGGTCTTCCAAACTAACAACGGATTACTCGGCCTTGGCCCGGACTACATGACCGAGGGAGATGAAGTGTGGGACCTGATCGGCGCAGATGTGCCGTCGATTTTGAGACCACAACCGTCGGACTCCCAAGACAAGGGAAAACCCCGCCGTTACAAGCTAATGGGTGAATGTTATGTGCATGGGGTTACGAATGGGAGGCACTGGGGAGACATTGTCGATCCCCATCCATCTTCACCGAGGAGTGAAGATCTAAAGCTGGAGACTATCGAGATTGTTTAAAAATGTCCATGGAGTTCGTGCTGTCTACATCTAAAAATATCTTCGCTACATAACACAACAACAATAACATCCGTCGTCCTCCGTATCACCGCCCTCCACGTCATCTTCCACACAACAAGCAAACATCTTGGTAGAAAAGCCGTAAGAGCAACATTCGCAGCAGCCTGTACAACAGCCTTCATCATCACCAACATCATCCGAACAACAACCACAACAGAGAGTCAGGCACATTCGTGAAACCGTTGGATGAATTCGCTGAACTGGAGCCAGACCAAAATCCTTCTTCGATAGGTATCCCATCTCTTCTGAACGCTGCGGCAGTGTATGCATGTTCTCAACACTATGTCCATAGTGTTCCAGCCGAGACATACACGCTGGTAAGTATTTCATTCCGCTGGATGATATGAGACCCTCGTTTCGAATCAGCAGATCAAGAGTTGCTTCAGGCTTTTCAAACCGATGAAGATATCTATGTTTACCATATGTCCGAATGGCAACATCGAGAGGTGTCATTCCCCGCGGCCCTTTGGAATTCACGTCTGCATCCCTTTCCAACAGTAGGTGTGCCACAGAGCCACTGGAGAAATGAAGTGGTTTCCAAGATTGTTCACCCTTTCGGATTTTGGTTTCGCACAGCCCGACGTTTGGATCTTCCCCAGCGTCGATGAGAGCTTTTATGACGTGAAGAGCGGGTTCGCCGGGGTGACCCGGGCGTGGATAGTATCGAAATATATGTGGATGGTTGCGAAACTTTGTTTGGCGCGTCAATAGCCATTCGAATGGAGTGACGCCCTGGCAAGGGGTCTTTGTATCAACACCTTTGTCGATCAGCAGCTTGGCCAGTGAGCCGTACTCAAACCTTTTGTCTGAGTCACGGAGTTTGGCGTCCTTGCAGAAATACATTGCCGCCATACAAAGATGTGGAAAGAGAGGATGCTCCGCATTCGAATCAACTCCTGAGATGCCTTCAGTAGCTTCAAGCTTTCGGCGCATATAGAGGAGAAGATTGGAGACCACGGCAAAATGAACCCCAGAAGTTCCTGGAGGCAGAAACCACGGGGAGGGATTTTTGATGAATTCCTGGGGCTTTCTTGGATTTAAACTTTCAACCACATCAAATTGGCAAGCTCCAGTAGTTGATTCGGCTAGGAAGCAGTATTTGGCGGCTTTTTCGCCAAACTCTTGGTAGAGGCCTGACTTTGGATTGTAGAAGCGATCAAAATGCTGAACTTCAGTAAGGTAGTATTTTGCAAGTTCCGTATAGCCATTTTGTGGCCGAAAGATTGCAATCTTGCCAAGAATGAGCTGTCTGAAGGCTGGCTTGATTAGGAAGGTTCGCACCGTCTCATGCATTAGTCGCATGCGCCCTTGACGTTCATCGATTTCGAGCAACCCACCACAGCTGTCTTTGAGTTTCTTGAGAAAGCTTGACAGTTCTCTAAAGTTGCTTGGAGGACCCGAATCCGAATCTGCCATTCGTCTTTGTTCAAAGCATTCCTGCAAAGTCTTGCACGGCCAGCATGTAATGATCTCAAAGAGTTCCCTCAATCCAATGAGTTCGTCGGTGCGGAGAGTCACATCTAAGGCAAGATATGACTCCCATCTAAAATCTTGCGGAATTCGTTCGGTGATAGACGTATAGAACGCCTCCAGTTCCGGGGGGAGGTTTTGCAATAGCATTTCCAGATCATGCGCGGACACACCTTGACATTGCGACAGGGCCTTGATAATATCATCCAATGCAAGTCTCACCCAAAGGAAAACACCGTCGGCTTGGTTGATGATTTTGTCAGCAATACGGTCGACTTTCTCTCTCTCCTTTCTGGAGACTCTTAAAGCTTCCTCGAGATTTGGAGATTCTACAAGCCGCCCCTCGGTGTACGTCCGAATATCAGTTTTGGTGTAGTCGTGGATCCTGAAGTTGACAAACTGTCGAAACTGATTTTGGATTATCTCCCGGGGTCGGCTAGAGAAGCAAATCTTGCAGTGGACGGCTTGCTCAGTGTTGATCAAACCCGCCATGAACTCAGAGATGAGCTCAAGATGACCGTCGAATTCATCAAGAGCATCAATGAACAAGCAGATATAAAGCTCAGACTTTTGTTGGTTCAGAATCCATGAGAATGTTCGTCGCAAGTTAGCTAGTTCCCAGTTGTAGCGATTCGAGCTGCTTCTCTTCGGAAGCACGGATGTAGGGATCCGTGAACAAAGCTCTGGGACACTCCAAAGAATTTGGTATAGAATACTTTGCAACAGCCCGCTAAATGACTTCTGGACTGTTGCACCTCGGTGGTAGAAGAAAAAACTGGCTTTAACAAGCTGCCCTGAATGAGCCCACTGCTGTAGCATTTCTTCTGTCCGGTCATCTTGGTAGATGTATTTCATGAGGGTTGATTTGCCGGCTCCAGGCTTGCCTTCAAGCCAATACGCTCCGTTCCCTTTGAGTAGCCAGGGAACAAATTGAAGGGATTTTTCGCTGAAGATCCACTCAAAAGTGGAAGAGTACTGAGCAGCTATATCGTCCAACCGGCGGTTGAAGAGTTCCGACCGTAACGATTCCAATATCTCTGGATTCCGGTATTAGCTAACATGCTGATGGATAATCCAGGAGCACATACCTTCTGATCTTCTCTTGAACCATTTTGCTCTAACTTTTTGTTGAATGGCTGATGTGTGTATCTCTCCATCTTGATTTTGACCGTCAGACTCCTCACTCGCGAAGCTTATATCGGTCGTTTGTCTGCGCAAACCGAACGTGAAGACGTCTTCGTGTCTCAGGAATTTCCGTAGAGATTCTACAACGCGGGTGTAGCCAACGTCACCACGAGAGAATTTTACCATCGCAGAATGATCCTTGTCGATAAAGTGCACTTCGTCTGGGTGACGAGAACATTTCTGGATAGCCGACTCTTTCTCCACCATCACAACCTCTGGACCATTCCGGACCCAACGACTGCCCAAAAACTGTATCAAGGATTAGATGTTGAGCATGATCACAGTCATCAAAACTTACATGAA